TCGTTTGACCGAACGGCAGGTTTATCCCTCACACGGCTTCATCTCCGTGCTGCAGTTATACGACGTGAAACGCGTCGATTCGAACAAGGACAAAAACGGCGATGGAACTGCTTACCATGGCTACAACTTGAATGCGTAATGAAGAATTGGATTCGTCATTTGCAAATGTTTTCGGTGCATGGCAATAACTCATTTCGAAGTAACTCGACACTCGTTCATTTGCAATCAGTGCCATCGTTACTCGATTAGCATATGACAAACAAATCACGTACCGTAAAAGTCAATCACACCACATAATTTCTTCCAGGGCAAATTTCAAAAGTTATTCACTTGTAGCTATTATAGCCTCGGTCCATTTCCCTCACAGAGTCACAAAGTTTGACTCAATTGACTCAGTAAAATTCTACGCTTTTCCATAAATCCTGCTCAGAATACATGCCACCTTCTTTCAGCATTCGGCCGCAATGCTTGAGCTTGAGTTGAGCTTCAACACCAACTAGCTGATGCTCAGCTGTACGAATGTACCTAGCGATTGTTTAAGCGCCACTGCAAGAAGATCCTTTGAAAGATCGAAAGGCTTGAATGAAATCTGCTTGGCAAATATGCAAAGAATCTTGATTCTGCCGCTCGTCCTCGCCGTTGCTGTTGCTTTCAGAGAGGTTTGGAGAGGTTATTGCTTTCTCAACCGCCACGAAAACAGCCTCGTTCACCAGGGAAGCAAAATCAGCACCTGACATGTACTTTGGACACATGCGAACGATCTCTTCCAAACGTACGTCGTTGCCCAAGGGCACCTTGCGACAGGCTGCCTTTAGCACTTCTTGTCGGGAGTCGAAATCTTGGCCAATATCGACGTAGACAGTTTTGTCGAATCTATGAAGGCATGCAATGAGGCAAACGAATTTTGAAATTATTTTTGTTTTAAGTTCATTATGAATGGAATTATTTCTTTTTTAATTAAGTGCCCTCATGCGTATGTTGAGCTAGAAAGGAATGCTTGAAAGAGGGACAAAGAGACAAAAGAGGGAGAAAGAGCATGTGACTGCGTATTCCCTGAATCATACGTAAGACGCAAACGGATAAGCCCTGTTCTCGAACAAAGCGGAGTGTGAAAGGGCTGGTCAATCATTTGTGACATATAAATAAATGTGGGTACTTAAAATGAACGTTGCTTTATGAAATAAAGACAAAAAGTGTTCAAGAATAATGCGTTATCATACTTGCATAGTAGCCAATGTGCACGGCGTGGTGAAAAAATGGTTCCTGGATCAAGTATACCATAGCACAGCCTCTCAAATAAGTACTAAGGATCGCCCAGCTGTGCCAGTTGTACGTTCTGTGAGCAAATCACAATAATGTACGAAATAAAACACAAGTGCGATGGTAAATTCCAGTAGAATATGATCCGCTATGAACCCGGAATGACCCAGCGCACAAACGTTTCAATGAGGGTCTTATGGACATATGTATGTCAGAAAAAACAATTGATTTAACCGCTATTTTTTGAGCAAAAAATTCGCCCCACTTTGTTTCATTGCAAACCGGCCGAAAACGAAAAAAGAACTCATCGCTTGCAAGTTACGGGCACAGAATGATGTTCTGGTGCGATCGTTCCAGAGTAAGACAGAGACACAACCATGGTATTTGATGCAACTGCGTCTGAGACCACAGTTCGCTCAGAACGACGTACATGAGAATCACATACGGTACCAGGTGGCAACCCGTCTCGCTTGTTGTCATGTATTCACAATTCAAAAGGACGTCCACAAGTTTCGTAACGCCGTACCTTCCAGGTCTCAGGAATGCGGTGTCGATCAAGTCAATGCGGTTCGTGGAGCCAATCAGAAAGACGTTTCTCTTCTCGCTGATGCCGTCTATTTCCGACAGTAACTGTGAGACAACTCTGCCCAAATCAAAGAATGCAATAAAACAAACACAGAAATGCGCAAGAGCAGAATAAGCACCTGTCGGTGACCCTTGAAGAGTCCGAAGCATTCCCGCGAACCGAAGCAATGGCATCGATTTCGTCGAAGAACACGATGCATGGGGCACTCAGTCGTGCCTGGGCGAAAAGCTTCCTCACATTAGCCTCGCTCTCTCCTACGTACATGCTCAGCAGCTCGGGGCCTTTGATGCTGAAGCACGGCAAACTAGAATTAGAGTCAGTGTGGTTCGTGGAAGATACCTAATGAAGTTCAGGCGGAACTCCGAAGCCAATGCCTTTCCGAGCAGCGTTTTACCACATCCCGGGGGTCCGTACAACAGCAACCCTGTATCAAGTCGAATTTACTCTTGCTAACTACCTTACAAAGGTACCTGTTCGTTTGAGACACGTGCCAAACAAGGCAGGACACTCCAACGGCAACTTGATTAAATCATGCAGTTCTTTTTTCGCCTCGTCCAGGCCACCGATGTCTGACCACTTCACGCTGGGAACCTACCGTATCAAAATGTTAGTTTTCGATGCTTCTGATCTGCTAAAGTAAGACGAACCTTCGACAGTCCGTATTGCTGATTCTTTTGGGAAGTCAGTGCTTCACAAGCTGTTTTCAGATCTTCATCATCGACATGTATTTTACGCCGACTGAACGGAAAGTTTTCCGCCTTGCCAAACAGCATGCGTCTGAAGAAAGACAAACACATGACAATCAAACTCTTCTCAAAGGTTACCGTACTCCTTGCGATTGAATGCAGTGGCCACCGCCTTGGCAAAAATGTTTCGCAATTCAAAGAAAGATCCCTTAGCGTACAAACTATACGGATTATCATTAATTTTGTATTAAACCGTGCATACGTCAGCTTGATTTATTGCAGCATTCAAATCTGCCCCATCGACTTCAACATGGTACATCTTTTTCAGATAGTCAACATTCGCGTCACACAACCTTCTCGTTTCCTACAAGTACTAAGAACTTAAGTAGATAATAAGTATGTTCGATATGATGCGGTTTTATTGATTGGCGAAAAGGTAATTACAGCCTGATGGATCAGTGATTTGGAAGACACTGAGAAAAGTGCTCTGAGAAATTCCATCCTACCATTAAAGGGCTTTGTTTCGAAATAGGTATGGCTGTTGGCTCGCAATGGCCAGATTTTGCTCATAACCAACTTGGGTTTCATATTTCCTTACCACCCCTTCATCGACATAGAGTTAAATGCTAACGCTCAGCCATTCCGTCATATCCGTTTGAGATCGGATTGCAGATTCTCACTTTGAACCATTCACGAATCTTTGGATGCTTATATTATGAGGTTTTCGAATGTACTTGTTGTTTTGGTCTGTGTGCCATTGTATCTAACCCAGAGGGATTGTTTGACGGGTAGTGAAGAACAAACCAATCGTCAAACCTCCTCAAGCTATCCTCCAACCTGAAAATCAAATTGTATGCTCGTTCTGGTTTCGTTATGTTCCTTCTGGCTCAATGAAATAAAGAAACATTACTTCTTTGTACGTTGAGAACAAGGGAACATACCTTAATATGGTAATCGTAATCGAAAATAGCCTGAATATCATGAATAAGGTTTCCACTAGCGTTCGTCGTGCCAATGACGATCCTACGCAATTTCTCGTCGTCGACGAGGGCAAGAAGCTTCTTCAGAAAACATAAAAGTCGAAAATCTGAAATTAATTTTTTCAGCAACGAATTACATTCAGTTTATTACTTACTTGAACCCACCTCCATATCTTCAGCAAGTACTTCTAAGCTTCGTAGAACAAAAACCACCGGATAAAACTTCTTGGCTAAAATAGTCAAATAATTTGAAACATGTGCTCGCAAAACAATATGCTATTGCTTGCATATGCGTCAGCGATCTGGTCATTTAATTTAGTTATAGATCTCTGGTTGTAAAGTCTTAAGGAAATGCAAGCGCTGCAGAGTAACACATATTCCCAAAATATTGCTTTCTTCAAAAAATATATCTGCAATAGGTCAGAAATCTTAAATGGTTTGTGATTGAGTGTAGTAGCCACGGGTCCATGCAAAATTTAGTGTACTGTATTATCAGGAATCTATGGTTATTGGGCTAGTACGTTATAAGCGGGAGAACTGGCCCACTTACTGGTTGAAATCAAGAATTTGAA